AATCTGCAGATTTGATGATTTATTAACACTCGTGTTTCAGTGTACAAGGTCAGGTTTAATTTTCTTTCTTCCTCTTTTGGTAGGTTGACTTCTTAATACAAATGTGTTTCGTCTATTACCATGATTACCCGCCCTTGAAAAAACACGAAATAGTGCATTAATGGGCACTTGAAATCTTTGGTACTAATGTAGAACCATTTTGCTGGAAAATATCGTTTTATTAAGATATTTTCTGATTTTTTAAAGATATTATTATAGATTACAAGTAAAATGGCAGTAGATATTTTATGAAATTTATTTATCTACCTGTGAAAAGAGACCTTTAAAACGTTTTCTTTGGATTTGCAGGGAAAACCAATGATAAGTCGAAGATAAAAATTGACAGCGAACTCAAATAAAACACTAAAAATAACCTTCCATACACCGATTAAAGACGTTTTGGAAATATTTTAGAGCGGCATAAATATTTAAGAGGCATCATTGATCTTATTGCCATTAGATTAGACAAAGAGCTGAATAATATTAAGTAGTATCAAATGCAATTCAGGCAATCAAATAGAACGGAAATTTTCTGAATTATCGGAAATAGCTTGCTTGTTTGCTTAACATTTAACACCCTTTTACAAATATTCAGCTAGGCTTTCTCAATGAATAATACGCTATTCCTGTGATATTAACAGAAAGAATACATGAATTTCAAAAACGAAGTCAAACAATGAATTATGAAATGCTTTAGGTATAATTTGAGTTTGGACTTTCATGTCACGAATTATAGCCTGCAGTTAGATTAAACATATTCACTCTTTCCCGGCAAGTATGAATTCGGGGGCCATCTATATTCAAGACAGAAACCTTAACATATTTTTTTCTATGTAGGTAGTTTATGTTTTTGTTATTTGATCCTAATGTGCTGTTTTTAAAATGGCTTCATAGAATTGAAAAAGATTTCAACCGAGAAAGACAAATTCATTGATTCGTAAACATGCCGTTTCAGGTAAGTATATATTTCTTCATCAAAACATGAATCGCATCTATCAATTACATAATAAAAGAAGTTTTTAAATTCTTGTCGTGAAATATTTTTTAAAACTTTTGCTTTGAAATGTTTCCAGAGTGAACTGGGTGATTACCTTCATTTATTATGTGACCTAGTGTGTAACACTGTAAGATGTCATTTATATGTAGATAATGAATAAAGAAAAAAAGTAATTGTGCAAATTATTTAAGCGGTATTGTTGCCAAGTGTAATGAATATAGGCATGTACGTTAATGTTATTATGCTTGTATATAATTATTCCATTGAATTCAATATTATTAATTATTACAGGCACATGAATTCCCCAGAAATCCATATTTAGTAAATTCTTTATAAATGTCAATTATGTATTTGATAATATATTATTTTGAATTTAGTGTATGTTAGATGTTTAACAGCTGAAAAAGTAGCGCTATATGCCAAATGAGTATTTTTGATAGCTGTGACAAGATACTAGAAATTTAAAGTTGTTGTGATATAAAATGGGCCTTAAAATGTCCAGACAAATTCTTTAACAAAGGACTATTACATGATTAAACTACACAACAATTATACTTGTCAGTATTGTTGACAAATTAAAAATAGAATGTTTCTCTTGAAACAATTTTATATAATGAATTGCTTACCTGTCCTCAGTACTTAATCAATCACTTGTCAAGTAAACATTTACCTTATACATGTAGCTAGTTGTTCTGGTGATTTCATAAGTTGGAAATACATACGCATAATATATAATGTAGATGTTATTGACGCGATACATGGTCATCATCATTTGTTGACATAATAGCTCATATTACCAATACCCTTTGTATGTTTATCATAAAAAATTATATAGGTTATATGATTTTGATACAAAAGCTGGCACTTTGTCCTTTTAGTAAAATTAAAGCTCTACCAATTTACGACGAAGAGCTATACACTCTTATGTGCAATTATTGTTAAAAAAATGTTTGTTTCCACTCTCGCTACCTACCAACAAAAATCAAGCTACACCAAAATATTTTAGTTATTGCCAAGCAAATTAAATAGTTTTCTTATTACTAAACATTTAAGCAGAGAGTGTCAATGAGAATCACATATTTATATCTGTCTCATGTTTTATTAATGTGAATATTCAAACAATAAATACATGTTGAATAAAATTGAAAATATGGTTCTAAATTTTTAACAGATGCTTAACATTCACATTTTGTTCTGAACTCTGCATAATTTTGATATGAAAATTTTTTTTGATTAAAAACAAATTCAACGTTCCTACCCTACCCAAACTAAAATGAGTGGCGATAGGACAGAAAGAGATAATTTAAGGCTTGTCCTATCATATCTCAACACAATAATATGGCAAAATGAAACTGTTACAATGGATAGTGTGAGATATCATCAAGTGGACACTAGTATAATTAATACGATCAGGCCTTGAAATGAAATTAAAATGCCCTACATTCGAATCAATAGTTCCGCTTAGACCTATTTCATTGACGGTTCTTCCGCTACAATGTCGGCTATTAATAATTCATTAAAGGGTTATTCTTCATAAATAATGAAGATTTGATGTTTAAAATGAATGATAGGAAATATGAGAAAAGAGTCAACGAACTTCCATTCAAAACAAGTTTCATTCGCTGCCTTGCAAACTTGTCTACAATGAATAAAGAATCATGATGTAAACATTTAAGTTTTCCTTAATTTGCTTTGAGACGTACTGTCAAAATGTTCATATTTTGTCTAAAATCAATTTGATGATTACTTTTGTCTCGTAAAATTGTTGAAATTTCCTCAATAGATAAGGCCGGACATAATGTGAACCTAAAGGAATACATGTATGCAAAATATTAATTCACTATTAACGTTTTATCTTTTGTTATTTGTTACTGCCTGGAAAAAAATGTTGTTTTTACATCAGCTAGTACATTTTTAAAAAAACATTTTTGCAAATGTTAGGTATAAAGGTTTTGAAATAGCACCAAGTTGTACTCAATACCAAATGAACTCATTTTAACAATAAAAGTCAAATTAATTATCAATAAATCTATGTCCATTTTGTAATTTTATATTATTTATTTCATTGGAATAACCAGACACGAAAGGCGATTCTGCATAAAAAACTTAAATATTTTTGTTCGAAACTGCAAATCACTATTTTTCTATACGATCATTGCATGCAAAGTTTCGTATATAATTGCAATTAAATACAAGTAACAATAAGGCCACATTTTGAGCCTTTCATTTAACATTTGATTTATACCATTGGCCATATGATATGTTAAAGAACAAGTACACACATAATGTAACTCATTGTCAAACAAATGTAAAGGATTGAAAGATAAACATTAAGTGTAGTTTACAGCCAGAGAAAAGACATTTCATTAAATCAAACATTTAGTGCTTGGAATGTTATTGATGTTCATGTTGTTGATTGGTCTGTGTCGATTCATTATTTGAATTGCCTTTTTTTGCCAATCACGCTAGGAAAACAATGTTGGCTGTATCCTTTTAGTATGTCAAGATTGGTACTCTATTATTTGATAAAAAAACAACAGTTATTCATTTTACAATGAGTAATTAATCATCTAACACGTGAAAATTCAATCAAGGTAAAATAAGACCTATCATTTGGTGCTGATGTTCTCCATCACAGTTTAAAATTGTTTACATCTTTTTGATTTTTGTAGTTTACCTTAGACAAAGTGTATAAAAGGTTTGTTTTATTGTTAATTTTAATCATATCAAGTTTCATATATTAATCATCTTTCTGACTAGTAGCATTTTATTTTTGCGTCTATTTTCATCTTTTCTCGAAGAAAATCATAACAAAAAACAAAACAAGAAACAGAATATTTATCTCCTTTTAATATTTTTCATGACATCACTTAGTATGAAATATCGATATCCTAGAAACATGAGACAAACATGAAAGTTTTTTTAACGAATCAATGTTTGGAATGTTATATTGTGTCTTAAAAAGAATATAATTAAAAAGAAAATGTGTATATGCTTGATTTTCAACAATTGGACGTTCAATATGGCATACAATTATGACTTTAAATCAATATAAACTTCATTGGCAAGACAATGAATGCTTTTTACTAATTAAATTGTGTGACATAAACAGTACAACAAGTAAATGAACAACTTTCAAAATAGCAGTTTGCTATTTCGTCATTGAAATATTATCTAGATAATGAAATTTTGACAGAGTTATGATAATTCTGTCATGCCAACTAATTATACAAAAAACGTTCCTTGAAGTATATTATTCGAGTATGATTTTTTTTTCAAAAAAAATAAGAATTATTTTTCTTTTAATTAAAAATATTGCACAATTGTGAAGACAGAAAATCATTTGTATTATCAACAAAAATTTCAACAGTACTTAAAATCATTAAGTGCCGATGTTTAATTGATAAATTTAGTAATACTCTCTATATTATACATTACTGATGAATTTGAATAGAGGTAATTTACAGGATTAAACTTGTGCACACTCCAACTTTTAAACAAAAATTGTTTGTCAAAGAAGCTTCTAATAACAAATGGAATATTTAAACAAAGTGTGTCTGAGTATATGGATAATATTTCCGGTTACATTCATTATTCAAAATATCAGATATCAGATACTGATATTTGTAAACGCACACAACATTTTATTAAATGCTTGCATTCTAGCGTTGGAAATGTCACATTCAGCTGTAAATATTTTATAAACTGAGAGTTTGGTCGATATTCAAATATACATGTTGCTGCAATTTCGAATTACAATGTAGTGTATCAAATCAATATTTATGGTCGGTTATACATTTCGTTGTTTACACATTTACTAGACTAAATAGAAAACCATTTTAAGCACATACTTCATTGAATCTAATAAAGTTTCAGTAGATAAAATTGTATTTAAGAACAAATAACAAAATAAGCGAAAGACATCTTACATATTGCATAAATACAATAAAAATGTCAGACCATACTCAAATGAATCGATTAGTATATTTCAAAAATGAATTATAAATAGTTTTTGTTCGTGTTAAAATAACAATAAATCATTATACATATTGCCTTCCAATACAATTAATGAAAATGATTTAAGCTCTCTTCTATACTTAGTATCAGCCACTTAACATCGTGTTTCGTTTACTACACAGGTGTGAAACTGAAAATCTATTTGCGAATGTTTGTATTTCAATTCTTAACAGTTCCTTCTATATGCATTTATTGGTATATGATCATCTATCATTTCATGCAATGCAAATCGAGGTTAAAATTGGTATCAGCTAAAACTATAGCCCTTATGTTCCTGGCTAAGATATTTCGGCGGTTTTGGCCATAACGCCTCAACGGAATACAATATATCAGCCATATTTCTGTCAAGGATATCATCATCTAGCACTTTCACTACTGTTTCCTCAGTAATTGGAGTTATAATTTCTTCGTCGTTTCTTGTTTCGGACAACATCTTTCTCATTGTCATTAAACTCTTGCTCTTTTTACGAGAACCTACATTCAGCAGGTCTGCAATACTAGTATTGTAGTTTCGATATGTTGTGCAACTTTGATTTTTCCGTAAAGGGGGTCTGAATCTGTTTGTAAAGGAGGTTTCTCCTATATCATTTATTAGTATCGTTTCTGGACTCAGATAGTTGGTTTCGGTATCACTATCAAAACTTCCAGCACCCATGGGGTCCCGAGGCGAATCACTATCATCGGAAAAATCAACTGTACTTTGTCTACTTAGCATTGCTCGCCTGAATCGTGTTTTTGGATGTAGCAGGTCCTCTCTAGATCTTGATGATCTGCTGTAACGGGAGCCATTGCTTGAATCTAACGAATGTTGACGGATTGGAACGTCTAAAGAATTCTGACGTTTTGATGGTATTGAACGAGTAGAAGGCGCTAATTGGGCTGTACTTTGATGAACCTTTTCAGCACATTGTGTGGTTAGATGCTCAATAAACGCTGGTGAGCTAATGTCAGCATCATCGTTTTCGGCCATTTCGACCATCCATGCTAAAAGTTTGTCATACGAGCTTGGAGTAGTTCCCTCAAAGTCTTCAGGAATTTGTTCGTCCTCTGAAATATCAATTTTGAATATTATCGTTAAGAAACAACATTTTTAGGAAAATGTAAGGAAACCTAACTTCCTATTTAATTTGATATTTTTTTTCAGCCAAAATTATTGTCAAATCATATGAGCATAACAGCATCAAACAAAATAAAAACTACACCATTTTTTCTTGATAACAGATTGATTGCTTTATCTTATAATGATATGATATTAATTAAAGTGTTTTGTCAAGTGTTGCAGCTTAAAGATCACCTTTTGTACAAATTAAATGAAGTCGTTTGGTTAAGTAGATTTTCACTGCCATATTATTGTTGTACTCCATATTTAATTCCTGAACCTTATATCCTTCAAGGCATATCTTTTGTTCTTTCAAGAATGAAGTGTTCTTTCAAGAATGAAGTATTCAATCAGGCTTGACAAAATTATCCTATGAACTTTTTATGCCAAGGGCAGACTGCCTTTGGGAATTCAATAAAAACTTTCAAAAGATATTGTTAAACAACATATTATAGTAACGCTTATATATGGCAATATGATTCATTTTCGAATAAATATCGATTACAGAAAATAAATGAAAATTAATAAACACGAGCTTGTGGTGCTGTTTGGAGTTGTCAATTTCTGCATTTCTCTCGATTTGGACATGAAAAATAGGTCAAACAGGGAATAAAATTAAACATAAGCTCCTTTTAGGACAACTATTACATTGAGTTTATAACGTTCAAAGATATAAATGATAAAGAAAGAAGTTGGTTACAAAATGGATCTTAGATTTTGAATCAATCTTTGAGGCATCTAAAATGTGCATTTAAAATACATTAAACTTACATTTTTAACTATCTTTCATACAATACATTGATTTTTCCTGGAATTTCTTTTTTTCCTCCAACCTATTGTACAAATATAAAAAACTACAAATCTATCTGCCGTTGTTTGTTTCCAACTATTATCCGATTGTTAGGTATCATATAATTCATCTTTTTATTAATTATGATGGATATATAACCTTTTATAAATTGAAACACTATTAAGGAATATCATGACTTACACGGGGAATCTACATTCAACGGATCTGAGATAAATATAATTGTTAATACACATCAAGGGTGAATAACCTACAAAACAATTAACTTCATATATTTTAGAAACTGCAAAGCACAATTAGCATTATTTGTTGTTCTATGTTTTATATTTATTTAATCCAATGATGGCTGTGTCAATGTTGTTTGATTGTCATTTTCAATAATATGCACTGACTTAATTAACTACGTAAGCATTGTGTGCCTAGAATAAAAATGAAAAAATATATTGTTCTTGAAAAGGTAATGTTTTTTAATGTAAGAATATGTTAAACGTTTATTTCCAGGATAGAACTGGAAGAGGTTATAAAGGTAAGAAAATGCGACAAAGTGGTATTCAGACTTAAATATGAAATGTTAAATAAATTAAACTATGCTAATTGTCAAAATGCTGTAGAAACAAAATATACCAAATGATGAATGAGCTGTTAAATGAATTAAAATAAAGTGTTTCTTTGAAATAAAAAATATTGCATTTTACAGCAAATTTTCCTTAAACAATAAATGTACTCATTAAGCATTTTAAATATTTGAATAATTATACATTCCCATTAAAATATATTCATTTTGTTTAATTATTTATTTATTCATTTATTTATTGTTTCAAAGATAAAATTATATTACAACTTAAGAAGCTCAGAATTTAAAGGAATTAACTGGAACATTAAAACAATAATTCAAAATGCACATTTTACATTCTATGAATGTTACATTTTGATATTCCGATAAAGGTTAAGAAAATGAAAGTTTGGGTCTTTTTAATAAAGATATTCTTTAATCATGCTTGTTTTTGACAACTTCTAATAAAAGCTGGTAATGCCAACTAAGGCAATGTTACAATATCGAAGATGACTTTCATTTTGTATAAGCTTGTATTAACTTATACCTAAATGATATCACAATATGTTTTAAACTACTATCATCCACGGTAAAAACGTGCCCACCCACATCTTACATTCAAATTATTGTAAATACAGCCGCAAATTATAGTGAAAAGTCATTTGGCTTCAAATTATGAACATTAGGTTTTCATAATTGTCATTTCAGTTCATTCATGTATCAATTTGTACACCGTTGTATTTTTTAATTAGAAAAAAAAAATTTAGCAGGAAAATGTATAAATTTCTCTCTGTTAATTATGTATATTATTCATAGATTCCACATTTTCTCATTATTTTAAAACGTATTTTTGTTGAATAAATAAAATATCCTTGTATTTGTAGCTATTATTATCCTTTGTGATCTTACCTGAGAGTTCGTCATCGGGATTCCTGTATCTACATTTTAGTCCTCTAGACTTGCGCTTGCTACTGTGGTTTCCCATTCTGCACTGCGTGAGACCTATTGTACTAATATGAAACAAGTGACAGACGTGCAACACAAATTTGTAAAATGTGTTTTTATGGCTTTCAAGAATATCTATTTAAATAATAGAACTATTCACTGTAAGTACACCAAGTCTCCTTTCGTTTTCCTTTAACTTAATGTCCTTGTAAATGATGACTTTATTTTTCACAAAAAAAATGATAACTATTTTTCCTCAATATGTTTATCCCTTTACGTTTCTTGTTTATCACGTAGCATATGATTCTAATCCAGATAAATGGCACGCTTATTTCTTACTTCTCACAGACACGTTTTATTGCAAAACATAACAGAAATACATCTGGATGTTTACGTTCACAAATCTGTAAATATTGCCAATAGCTGTTGCTCTGTATGTGAGTGGAGCTTGTACAACAATGAAGGATACTGTGAATGATCGAGTGTTTATAAGTCTCCAATAGCCTACGCATGCACGTAGAGAGAGAGAGCGATTCACACAGATAACTTACTTGTGGAATCAATATTCAATTGTAAGTTACGCCTGCCTAACATAGATTTATTGAACCATACACGAGAGATTAACCCAGGATACCTTTGTATATATAATATAATGTTCTATAAATTAGGCGTAAGAAGTTCCATCCATTTCTATAAAACATAAGGTGGTTCTTTTTACTGAACCGTAAAAGAAAATAAAAGAAACATTATAAATAATAAAAATAAGATGTAGAAACAAAACCATGAATAGCAAAAACACAAACTTGTCTATTAAATGATATAGCAATAATACTGGCTTTCCGTCATAAGTTGTATGTACACAATAAAATAAGTACAAAATAAATCATTCAAATACGAATCGATATCTTCCATACTTTTCTGGTATTATATAACTTTAATCATAAGTCATTTCAAATGTAAGGGTGAAATTGAAAATCAGAATTCGACACTGGATTAAGTAACTGAATCAAAACTGTAAATTGATAGATACACTTGAAACGATTTCAATATTTTCAAAGCCAACATTGTGTGAATAATATATAATGTTATTCGTCACAGGTGATAACATTTGTTCAAAGCATGCATTTCTCATGTTGCGTAATAAAAATATGATACTCTTCTCGTTCAATTACTATAGACATATACAGCTGTTAACTATCAATATTCGAAAGGTTTAGTTTTTTTATGTAAAATGCTTGTTATAGTAAAATATAAGAATGAGATTCATTTTCTATGCAGTCAAAAGTATCTTATATGTCTTGATTTCGTACACAAAATCATACTAACTTGAAATTCAGGAACAATTACAAAATAGCCGGTTCATCATTTTTTAAATAAGAGTAAGTTTAATTGAAATATAACGACAAGGTTTTATCTTTGTGAGACTAACACAAACTTATGTGACTTTAAATAGAATAAAGACGACCTTTTACACCATTATACTCAGATATAGAACTCAATATAATCGTCTTATGCATTTTCGCGAATTTCGATTCTCGTAAAGTCTTATTGTCTTTATAGGCATAATCATATTTTCCAATCCATCTTTGTCATACTTGCTTCAATCAAATGCAACTTATCCCATGTCCAAACCGAGTCTACAATTTTCATGTAATTTTGCATTTTTAATGCTTCCAAGGGATCACTTTTTTCCAGATATTTAAAACATTCAATATGCGTTTTGAAGGTATAAAGTAACGATATATGTGTCTGGTTTTGTAATTACTGAATAAACGATTACCTTTGCACAAGGTCATTATTTTTTATGTAGACAAGTGAGGTCAATAGTTTCTTCGTAGATAAGCTTAACATTTTTTGTCAGCATTTACTGTGATAAATTGGTCTGCCTGCTAAAATCATTTCTGATTGATAATGACATTTGTAAAATAGAAGGATGAGTTATTGAATACATATTTCACCTTTATATTTGGCTTGCAATCATACAATTGTTATTCATACAAGTCAAATAAAGGTAATATAAGAGCCACCAGTGTCCTAACAAAACCTACATGAATATGTTTATGATGGTTTAAATTAGAATAATGCTTTTGAAACAGGTGCTTAGATCATGTTCAGCAAAAGCTGTTGTAAAAACTGCATTTAGATTAATAAATAGATAAGACAAATGATGGTAATATAAGAGTCACTGCCCTGATACATGTAAAACCTACATGTATATCAATACTATAGTTTTAATTAGCATGATAACTTTTGAAACAGGCGCTAAGAGCATGTGCCGAAAAAGCTGTTGTAATAACTGCATCACATAAACATGTATGAATTATAAATCAAAGTGTACCTTGGTCTACTAAAATACGCACGCATATGGAATAAATATATTGATTGTTAATATCAATTATCATTTATATTTAAAATAAATTAATGAGTTGAACATTCTCTATTTTATTAAGCAAAGCATAAACACCAGAAAATAAATTCATACGTCAATGCGTAGGGCAAAATGAAGTATGACGCTTTTAAATGAAATATTCTATTTAATATTTCATGCTTACCCAGTTCTTTTTAATGTTTCATTTAAAGTAAATTAAATATTCTAAAGAATAACCACACAATTTAACAGTTAATCGAAAACCGTGGGCATTATGTATAGATTTTCACAATAAGGATACATGTCTAGAGTATGAAAGCATTCACAAATACAGATACTTTACTAAGAGAAATACCTTATCAAATGTCTGTTTTTAACTGTTATATTAAACAAGAGGCAATTATTTTGACCAAAATCTTCATAAGTCTCATGAGAAAACTATTTAAAATCTCGTGAAAAATGATACAGAATATTTTCATCATATTACACTGTTCAGCATATACGGAGAAAATAGACAAGTAAATATTGCTAAACTGATAATATAATTTGCAAACGAGAAAAGGCAATAGTTTTAATTTGACGCAAATAATAAAGGAGCAATTCATTATGTGTCCTCAATGTAATAACCACTTATCTACAGTAAAGGGACATTTATATAAAACAAAGGCTTGAATAATTCAAACAGATTATCGCTTTTCGGACACATACAACAAAGCTTGCCAAGTAAAATGTCATACAGAAAAAGTATAATACATAAGTGTTGATGAATAATTTAGATGTACACTTTCATATTTGTATCCACCGCTTGAATTGACTTGTATTGAGTAATAATATTAAACAGGGATTGACTTACAAAGTGCATGCCTAATCTATTTTTCTTAAAAAAATGTAACATTCCGACAAATGGCATTTAAGGAACAAAGAAGCGTCGAATAATTCCCTTTTATCGCAATTAGTTCATAATTTATTATATGAATATATTCTGTAATCATCAAATTAAATTTATTCAAGAATCATAATACATTTAAATAAAAAGTGGGGACGAAAATGATACCCCTAAGGAATTACAACAATTTATTTGTATGCATAAGAAAATCAATTAACGATAAAAAAAACAACGATAAAATAACAATATGTGTCTAAAGTAAAACAATGTATTACTGTAACAGTAATTTAATACTTTGTTTTTGACAACAGTTCAATAATTCATAATAGAAAAGGGAATATTAGAGCAAGTCAATGCCTTAAAACATTGAAATAAAGAACATTTAATGCAGTCTAGAACATTTTGTCTAGTACCATGACTATAAAAGTAAATTTAAAAAAAGATTAAATAAAGGTTGAATTAGACCACTGAAATGAGACGTTTTAAGTTAAGATATAATATGTAAACTATAAAAAGAATTCTTGTGAAATATACAAATATACATGTTATGTTCTTGTTTTAATACTGTAAGAATGCTGTACATATTGTAGGAATATTTTATATATTGATTAAAACAGTATTTGAACTTTTGCACGATGTGCTCTTTATATATTGTTATAACAGTATTTGAACTATTGCACGATACGCTAATTGTGCTAGCATATACTCTCGAAGTTATTTCATAATTGCATTCACATATGTGCATATGAATTATTAATCAAAATAAAACTGGACCTACTTATATAAACTTAGACAGGAACTGATCGTTCCGATCAGGAATGATATATACTTTATACGCCAAATAAAATAATATGACTGAATATTCTATTTACACGTTGAACATTATCAAAGTAAGATTTATATTGCAGTTGGGAAACTTAAACTAATTGTCATTCAGACTGCTTCTTCCAATTCTCATGGATTTCTTTAAACTTATCAAATTTATCGGGAATTCAAAAGAACATGTGTTTGAGTAGATTAATAAGTAACAATAACATTGATAGTGTCTTCTTAAATGATTGAATCTATTTATGAAACTGCTTAATTTTCACGAAATTGCAGGAAAGTGGATGATTCAAACAGGAGGTGATAGATTCTGCTGTTTTTTTACACTAAAGTATGAGATCAAGTTCTTGCTATCATATTTGTTTTTGTTATAAACAAGATGACAATTTATTGACATCATCTGTCTACTTTATAAAAAATGAAAGTCAAAGAAAATGTATAGAAAATATCTTCCACGTATAAAGATAGAATAAAAATTATACTAAGTGGAAATGGTTCAGCAAGCTTATATTCAGTTATCGGTTCCATTGATAGTTACACTAGATTCAATTAATGTTCCTTTATCTTTATATAATAAATTAATAAAATTATCTTTTCCACACTCTTAATAAAGACGAACACATTTGATAACTGATATCCAATCTAATAACCTATAGCCTGAAAAAGGAAAACATCGCCAGACAAACCACATTATTTTATTAAGGTTTATTTTTAGACATATACACTCAGATGACCGCATATTAGTATCCATAAGAGGCAGTGTTACATGGAATTTAGTCTGACTAATTAATTGGTAAATGTTGCGATGAGTTATGTTTCACTGTCCTTAATTGACTTAAATCATACATTCTGTTAATAAAAATTTACAAGGAATCTATTTATGGAAACGAAGTCCTGTAATCCGACCGAGTATATCAATTTATAACCTCCCCAGAGATGTCCAGTGTCCTTAAATGTTTTACAATCTGTACATATCCTGTATGAAAATGATCTCAAAAATTCAAAAGGTGTTTATCTAAATTCAAACTTTTTTTTTATTTATACTCCGTTTGATAAATATGAACGATGGAATATCAAAACAGGATTGGAAAGTAACATCAAAAAGCGCTAAAGGTAACTGGAAGAAGTATCATGTATAACAATACATTTAATTAGAGAAAACGTGTTACGTATCTATTATGTTTTAAGTGTTAAGGTGTAGTAGATACTGGTGGTTATTTATTCATTTATTTATTATTATTATTATTATTATTTTTTTTTTTTTTTATTTACCAATTCTGTCACAATGCGTTTATAACACATACAGTTTCAAATTTGTAATAAATTTGAGTCTCATTTAGCCACTATTCGAATTCGAGATTTGTGGGAAATTCTCGTATTTCAACACACCGAACATGTGTTTAATGTACCAGATATTGAAAAGT